CAGAGCTGCGAGCCCTCCCGAACCTGGAAATCAGTGGGAGCCCGCAAGGCCTCCTGGCACCGGGATCCAGCGGGAGCCACAGAGCTCTCCTTGGCACCGGGATCAGCAAGAGCCTCCCAGCACCGGGATCAGCGGAGCAGCGAGCCCTCCCAGCACCGGGATCAGTGGAGCCACGAGGCCTCCCAGCACTGGGATCAGCGGAAGCAGTGAGGCCTCCTAGCACCGGGATCAGCGAAGCCTCGAGGCCTCCTGGCCCCTGGAGCAGGGTGACAGGGGGCAGCGCCCCAACCCCCTGATCGGCCCTGCTCTGTGCGTGACAGGGGGTGGCGCCGTAACCTCCCCCATAGACCCTGCCTTGAGTGTGACAGGGGGGCATCGCCCCAACCCCCCAATCGGCCCTACCCTGAGCGTGACTGGGGGTGGCATCGCAACCTCCTGATCCGCCCTGCTCTGTGCATAACAGGGGGCGGCACCCCAACTCCCCAATCGGCCCTGCTCTGAGCCCGACCAGGAGCTGCACCTAGGGATTGGGCCTGCCCTCTGCCACCCGGGAGCGAGCCTAAGCCAGCAGGTAGTTATCTTCCGAGGGGTCCCAGACTGTGAGAGGGCACAAGTGGGGCTGAGGGATACCACCCCCCCCCCCGCCAGTGCACAAATTTTTGTGCACCGGGCCTCTAGTATCATTATAAATGATAAATAATTCATATGCTTTATGTATCTAATATGGATTTTTTTATTCCATGAAACTCCCAAAATGATTCTTATGTTTGTATTCAGACTACCTAAAATTACAAACTCAAACAGTATTCTTAAAACATGGTGATAGCCCTAGCTGGTTTGGCTCAATAGATAGAGCGTTGGCCTGTGGACTGAAGGATCCCAGGTTCGATTCCAGTCAAGGGTACATGCCAGGATTTGGGGCTTGATCCCCAGTAGGGGGCATGCAGGAGGCAACTGATCAATGATTCTCTCTTATCATTGATGTTTCTATCCTTCTCTCCCTCTCCCTTCCTCTCTGAAATCAATAAAATACATTAAAAAATAATAAAAGGGCATCAGTTCGGGGCTAAAACCCACATTTATTAGTGTATGAATGTGCGTGAGGGGTTGGTGGGTTCTAGGCTCCTCACACCAGGTTCAGTCCCTGTTGGTCACCCCTATGAGGCCTTCGGGTAAGCTTTGGTTGGGAAATAAGGTTTCCAATGCACACTGCTTGCCATGTAAGGACCAGCAGAGTTTTCTATATTTATTCAGAGGTATTTCCAAGATTTGGATTATGGATTAAAATCAACTTTAAAAAAAATCTCCTTTCTTTTTGTTTGCTTGCTTTTTATGGATTAACTGAATAAAACCTGTGTTAGTTAAGTATTCTGATTTTAGAGAGCAACATAAGCACTTGTATGCATGCATATTAGCATAACCAGTGGACACGGACCACGGACACTGGGGCAGTGGGGGCTTGTCCTGGGGGGTGAGAGTGGCTAGGGAAGGGTCGATGGGGGAAAAAGAAGACATAAGCAATACTTTAAACAATAAAAAATATGTAAGTAAACAAATAAAAAAAGAAAACTCTATTCTCAGACTTTTTATTTAACCTGACTCAGAACTCACACTGTGTGAAAAGCACTATCTCAGAGCGTTTGCTGAAAACAATCAGCAGCAATTGTATAACACTGCAGTGTCTTAGGCAGTGATAACAAATGGAAATAATAAGAGAATGAACAAAAGACTTTACATAGAAAAATTGGGAATAAAAAGTCTATAGAGAACTCTGAAAAACTGACACATTCCTGGGAATTCAGAAGGCCACACACAAGTACAGGGCATTATGTGTGACCAGGAAAGATTTGAGAAAGCTTAGCCCCTCATATCTGGCTGATACTGAGGCTCTGCACAAGGAAAAAGTAAAGGCTACAAGTTGTAAACTGCATCAGAGCATGAAACTCATGCCAATTACATGGAAAGCCACTCAGCAAAAGCTAAAAGACTTATTGGCTCTAGGTGTTCAAGAAAATATCTGACCTATCATTAGCTGACCACTAACCCAACTGAGGAGAGACTTTGGTGGCAAATAATTATTATTTTTTAATTGAGACTTTACATAATCAGACCAAGAGAGTCACTAAAAAAATCCTGGAGAATAGAGAA